GCATCCATTTCGTCAACGGGCGTGCTGCTCAAGGCGCTAGGCAACGTCAGCTCCTCGCTGAACTTTGCCTTTGTGCTCAACATACGCGAATCCGAGGTGTATCCACCGTTGTTCTCGCCGCAGGATCTCAGTTGCGTCGAGGAGAAGATCAGCGCCTATAAAAGTACGTAGAACTTCTTTATAATGTATAAATTTTTAATATTTCTCCTGCAGGCTATACCGCCGACAATTTGCGAGTGCTGCGCAAGCAATTCCTTAAGCAGTGCCTGAGCGAGCGACTTGTTGACGCGGATCCCGCGTTGCCCAAATATGAGGCACAGCTGATAATTACACGAATTGGCATTACATGCACCTGCCGCACGCTGCAGCCGGGCGAGGTATGCTCCGAGCTAGATCCAATTGAAGCACAACGCTGGACTGAGTTCATGGGCAATGACGGCAATGGCTATTATGCCAATTAAAACTAAGTCTATCCAACTAAAAACTCTTTCTCTACTATGACTATTGTAATTAATCGAGTGTCATTTGTGTGTGTGGCTGTTTCTTGTAATTGTAACAGTATTTACATGTGTATTTGTGTATATTTTATGATTTTCTAAACTACAATTATATATTTAAACTTATCGAAGGCGTTTGTATGCGCGGCGTAAGTAGGCTCACAGATTAAAACAGGTGACAGCTCTGCAGCATACGAATCGAAAATATCGGAAAGAGGTATCGATATGTGTTGATACATTTCAGTCTTTCTCAAGATAATTAGAGCCATTTATTATAAAAAATATATTCAATATTTATTAATTTTAAATGTGTTAAATAATTGTAATAAACTCAATTATTTTTATTTTTACAGCTAAGCACGCTGTGAGTTGGCTCACACATATATCGATAGTTCAACATATCGATGACTTTATGCATGCCTTGTTCAGCACTAAAAAGTCCAACTTTAAAACAACAATAAGAGCGCAGTAGCTGCCGAAATATTATTATTAACTTAATGCTGCGCCCAAAACACGGACAAGCAACATTATGGGCATTCTAGAGAAGATTGCGGAGATCGAACGCGAAATTGCGCGCACACAAAAGAACAAAGGTAGGTTGACTGCAAACACCGGCGTAGACAACGCGGCGTCGGAATTCGCAGTGCTGGCAATGGCGTTGCCAGGTATCGGAATTTAGGGTTAGAATTCATTTGCGAATCCATTTTGCAGCCACTGAATACCATTTGGGCCTGCTAAAAGCCAAATTAGCCAAGTATCGCTCGCAACTGCTGGAGCCGTCGAAGAAGGGCGAGAAGGGTGAAGGATTCGATGTGCTCAAGAGCGGAGATGCGCGTGTGGCGCTCATTGGGTTCCCCAGTGTGGGCAAATCCACCATGTTGTCCACACTCACTAAAACCGAATCGGAAGCAGGTGAGCAGGGCGTGGCCCCAACAACCCAAATAATTGACAGCAACTTTCACATTTTATAGCCAACTACGAGTTCACCACGCTGACATGCATACCCGGCGTGATTGAGTACCAGGGTGCAAACATACAGCTGCTCGATTTACCGGGTATCATCGAAGGCGCCGCCCAGGGCAAGGGTCGTGGTCGTCAGGTCATTGCCGTGGCACGCACCGCTGACCTGGTGCTGATGATGCTGGACGCCACCAAGCCGAATGTCCATCGCGAGCTGCTCGAACGTGAGCTGGAATCGGTGGGCATACGCCTGAACAAGCGCAAGCCCAATATTTACTTTAAACAGAAAAAGGGCGGCGGTCTGAGCTTTAATTCCACCTGCGCGCTGACGCGTTGCAGCGAGAAAATGGTGCAAATGATTCTCCACTCATTCAAGATCTTCAATGCAGAGGTGCTGTTCCGCGAGGATTGTACAGAGGATGAGTTTATTGATGTGGTCACGGCCAATCGTGTCTATTTACCTTGCCTTTATGTGTATAATAAGATTGATCAGATATCTATAGAAGAGGTGGATCGACTGGCGCGACAGCCTCACTCCATTGTGGTTAGCTGTAATATGAAACTTAATTTGGACTACATGCTGGAGGCGCTCTGGGAGGCCCTGCAGCTCATCAGGGTGTACACCAAAAAGCCCGGTGCGCCGCCAGATTTTGACGATGGTCTGATTCTGCGAAAGGCAAGTGGACGGCAAAATCTATATGAAATAATTTATAATCTTATATGTGTTCCCACAGGGCGTCAGTGTCGAGCATGTCTGCCATGCCATCCATCGAACGCTGGCCGCACAATTCAAGTACGCGCTGGTCTGGGGCACGTCGACGAAATACTCGCCACAGCGCGTGGGCATAGCCCATGTCATGGCCGATGAGGATGTCATTCAGGTGGTCAAGAAGTAAGTTGCAACGCAGCTGCATCTGTTAAGCCCTTTCCTGGCATCAATCGAGTTGAAATATATATTCTATGCTACCTATAACAATTTAAATGACTTGATGATCATCTTGGATGGCATCTCGTTTAATATACAACAATTTTTGCCGACCGAGATTAATATTCGGGGCACAAACTAATCCATGGAAAGCTGTATATTTCTTAAAACTTCAGTGAAAAACAAGTCTGGCCTGTTCCTGTCATGGTTTATAAAAAAAAACAGATAAGGGGCTATCAATTTTCCAAGTATTTGAGAGCATTTCCCTCGATTTCAAAATAATCAACCCGCTAACCTAAAAAAAAAAGAGGCTTCAAATTGTTATGAGCGAAAGTTTTTGCGGAAAAGAGGTGAATTACAATAACTGCTAGATCTTCTCATATAAATTGATTCCTCCTTATGGCATAATCTTGTAAAATAACTTTATTGACCGCTCGATTTGAACGTAACAACTAAAACCCAAACGTGGTGCCTAAACATGCCGTTCGACAATCAATTCAGCCATCATTTAGAGGCAGCCGCATTGCTGGCCGTGGCCGCCGAAGCGGCTGCATAGCTCTTGTTCAGCGTGCTCATCGCCGAGATGTTGGAGAAGGGCGTCGGGCCGCTGCTGATGCGCTGCGGCTCCAAAAGCTGCACGGCCGGATTGTCTATTTCGGCGAATACGTTGGTGGCGTCGCGCATGCGATACCGTCGCAAATTTAAATAGTGCTCCTTCTGTTCCTCGACACGTTGATGCAGCTCGTGTAGGCGTCCGGCCAGCGAGATGAACGACTCGTTTAGCTGGCGAAAGCCGCGCTTCAGATCATCCGGCGAAATGCTTTGCGGATTGGCCAGCGCATGCATGTGGCTCTCCGTGAGCAGGATTTGCTGACGGAAAGCAATCAGATCCTCCTCGTACTTGGCCACCAGGCACTGAAAGTATTGGAAGGGCGCACTATTCTCGAACTGCAGTCCGGCGGGCGTATCCTGCGTGCGCTGCGCCATCTCCAGGGATTGTATTGCCTTGGCCGTTTCACTGCGCAGCTGCTTGATGTGCCGATTGTTGGCATCCACCGAATTGGCCACGTTCTGTAGCACCCAGCGAAGATTAGTTATCTCGTGACTCACATTGCTAAGCTTGGAGGTCGAGGTGCGTCCAATGTCCGAGGAAATGGTCTTTTGCTGCTTAATGTAGCTCTTCAGCGCATCCACGGTCTTGACTATCTCATCCGGCACCTGGGTCTCCTTGATCTGTAATGACAGAATACAGGTGTCGTGTGCTGCAGCTGTTTTCTGATTTGGCTTCTTTTTTATCCGATACTTACTTTAATCCCATCCTGCTTGTTGTCACCCAGCTTCGGCTGCGTGGCGCTCACATCGATGCCGCCCAGGCCCACAAAAACAGGCGGCGCTGCGGTTGGTTGTGCGCTTGTCGTCAGTGGCTTACCAAAGATGCCGCCGGTACCCGTAGGCGCAAAGGTGTTGCTCCCGCCCAGGCGTAAATTCGCATTGAAAGGTTGCGCCGTGGCCGTTGTTGTGGTCGTATTGAAGTTCAGGCTGGCTGCGGTTGTGGCCTGCGGCTTGTTAAAGGAGAACGCGCCAACGCCTGCACCCAGCGTGGCAGGCATGGCTGTCGACCCGAAGGCGGGCGGTGCTGTTGTCGGTGCGCTTGTCGTGGGTGTCGAGAAGTTGAACGAGGGCGCAACAGTGGCGGTTGCTGCCCCGAAGGCGGGTGCAGCTGCGGGCGCGCCAAAGGCAGGTGCTGCTGTCGGAGGAGCACCAAAAGCAGATGATGCTGCAGACGCACCAAAGGCAGACGCACCAGGGGTAGCGCCAACTGTGGGTGTAGCAGTTGCTGTTCCAAAAGCGGGCGCTGCGTTGAATGCTCCAAAAGCGGGCGCTGCGCTGGCCGCACCAAATGCTGGCGCTGGATTGGCCGCACCAAAAGCTGGCGCTGTGTTGGTCGCACCAAAAGCTGGCGCTGCACTGGCCGCACCAAAGGCGGGCGCAGTTGTGGTACTGCCAAAGGAGGGCAGCGATAGACCCGTACCCGCTGGAGCCGCTGCAGTTTGCGACCCGAAACTGAGCGTTGGCGCGGCACTAGCAGCTGCGGGCGCAAAACTAAAATTCGGCGCGGAAGCACCCACAACAGCACCCGCTGCTCCGGCCAGACTCGATGTGGCCGTGGCTGCTCCAAACGCAGGCGGCGGGGCGCTTGTGGCCGGTCGCGCGCCAAAACTGAAAGCCGCTGTTGCTGGAGCAGCGGCGCCAGCGCCCAGGCCGGCGTTCGTTGTGGGTGTGCCGAACGAAAAGGACATCGTTTAAAGCGTTTTAAGTTGCTTCTTAACAGAAAATTTGTTCTTTGCCACGGATGCGGTACTCAATTGTAAACTTAAAAGCGAAACAAAATTTCACAATTAACAAGAAGCGCACACTGAGAAATTTATCGATAAATGTTTTACATTTGGTTTCCAATTTTCAACTAGTTCAGTATTACCACTAACCATATAATGTACATTGTATGGTTAGTGGTATTACATTTGATTCAGAATATTAGTATTCATTTATATTCGTAGCGAGTTTCTAGTGGACTTGATAATTAACGCAAATACAGCTGAATTTAAGTTTAAAGCCAGATTTTCTAAAACGCGTATGTTTTGTAGCGGCGCGCAAGTTCTAAAAGTATTTTAATGAACCAAAACATAAATGAACTGTAAAGCAGTCAGGCAACATTTTGCCAGCGAGTGCTGCCACCTTTTGTGTTAGTACCATAAATATACGCTAGTGGCGCCACGGTGTACCCAGGCTTTTTACAGTTATTTTCGCTATCGTGTGATCTTTAGTTCTTCAAAATTTTATTTGCACGCGTTTTATGTTTAAAATTAATTTGTGAAATAATGGCCGCTCAAGAAGAACAATATACAAAATATTTAAACGAGAATGGCATACTGCCGCGATTGTTGCAAATACTGGAGCAATTAGTGAATATTGATCCGTTGCCAACGGATCCGCTAATGGAAATTCTGCACGCACTCGGCTGCCCCCTCATACCGCAGGCCCAAATGAAAGCGCTGGAGCGCAAAGTATCACGGGCACAGGATGAGCTGCGCTATCTGCGCCGCGTGCTGATCGAGCTGGGCGGGCAGGACGAGCTCTACGACAGCGACACGGACGAAAATGAGTATGTGGGCCATGTCGGCGAAATGGGCGCTGCGCCACTCTACTCGCCAGATTCCGCCAACGAGGAGGAGCCTGAACAAGTGGAGAAGGATTGCTCCACGCCCAGACGAACGCCGCAATCACAGTACATTTTGGAGGCGTCTTTTGCCATCAGGGAGGAGCAGCCACAGCACGCAGAATACGAAGAGGAGCAGCCCTGCTGCAGCCACTCCATACAGGACAATGCGCAGCAGTTCTAGAGTTCAACTTATGTATCGAGTACATATATCCGCACTCTTAATATATATTTATATATATATGTGTAACGCCTTATACTGTATAATTGCATGCGCCGTGAGAGGAATTCACAGTTTACATTTAACAAAATTTTGTTCAATAAATGCATTTTGCAATGTGAATTAGAAAAGACAACGCCAGATCGTTGCAGATTATGTCAACCTATATAAACAATTACAAAATAAGCATCAAGTCCACGCTAGAACGTGGCGTATCACATAATTTCAAAAGTTATAAGATTTTTACATTATTTTTGTTAAGCGAATGCATTTTTAGAGAAAAATTAAAAAATAAGTTAAGAGTCAACAATAGATTGTTGCACATTATGTAAAAGTAATACTATAGCGCCGTCCATATATATATGGCAGATCCTTGAACAATATGTAAGAGAATTACTTTAGCTGTAATGATATGTAATGGTTGCTCAGAGAACCCAAGGTTCTGGGTTTGATTATAATATTCGCAACATTTCTGAAAATCCTACTTTGTCCAATCAAAATATAAAAACTAATTTTTAACCTAAAGTTAAAAGCTTATGAAAACTTTGAAATACGCATTTTAGATTTAAGGCTGATAAATGAATAATGCTTATGTCTGAATAATTTCCGAGTGACCACTGTAAATGGGGACTGTCTGAACAAGGACAAACTAAACACTAAGATGAGTAACGTCATATAAAGACATTATATAAATATTTGCATCGACTTAAAAATACATGGTCTGAACTTGTGCAATATATATGTATGTATGTAGACAAAAATCAGACATTCTCGGGCACAACTGCCTCTGGAGAAGAAAGGAAGGAGCCCGCCCAATTCCATCTTCAACTGTGTAAAATGCGCGGAACACAATTATATAAAACTATTTTGTAGTTCGGTGGCAGCAAACTTATTTTCACAGTACATTTAAGACGTTTTCATTGATTTTGCATATACAAAACTTGACCCAGGCAAAGGCAAATTTTTTATGATACCCTTGGGAAATCAATAAGTCGACAACCCGCATCATGTCCACAGTTTTTGGTTGTTGCATCCAAACAAAGCAGAGCAAAACATCGATTTAATTAACTCGAAACATGTCATCCGTGTCGACAGACCGACTGCAAATAGCATTTACTAAACCCCTTCATATGCAAATAGCGTGTGGAATGTGACCGGAATTAGCAGTTGGTAACATAATGGATTCTGTGTACCAGCTTTCCCGATAAGCTCATAAGCAAGTCCTGTGCTGAAAACATATTGGAAATAGTGTTAAATGGACAACACGCTGAGTTTGGAGTATTTTAAGTGGGTGAGTTTGAGTTGACTTTTTAATTATTTTAATGAAATATCAATTTGATTTTACAGAGTGCGAACAGCTGTTTGCTTTCTTGAGTGTTGCCACAAGTCTTAAAAACCTTCAAAGTTGCACAACACTGACTTGTGCTGCTGTTTCATTTCCACTGTTTCATTGCTGTTTTCTGAAAACGTTTAAATATTCAAAGAGTACAAAATGGCTAAAACTTTATTAAAATGAATTAAAAACCACGCTCTATTAGTCCACTTGTGTAGTGTTAATAAAAAAATTAAGCCAATTGACGCCTTCCGACTATTATGAGACAACACCAAATATTTTGTTATGCAAACAAAACATAACTTTTTATGCAAATATTGAAATAGCTTAACAACATTTTTGGTATATGGTAAACTTAACAATGCGGCTTAGCAGACACGGAAAAAACAAAACGAATAACAAAAACAAAGGTTTACACAATTTATTTGTCAGAGCCACAATAAATCCATCTAATCCGTGTTGAGCGGGGAGTTGGGCGTGGCAGGCGACAGCTGCCCGTCGCTTTGATAAATAAACTGCAGCCCGCGAGTTGATATACATAAATATTAGCTATAAAAAAGCCAGAGTTGTGTGTGCTCTTAAATAAATAACATGTGCAGCGGAGGGCGTGGCAGTTGTTGGCAAATGTGGCGGCTGCTTTTAACTGCGTTCGTTTGGACTCTATTTTTTTTTTTGTTTCTCATTTTGACTTTAAATAATGGCTGCGGAAATTGCCATTTAACGGCAATTTTGTGGCTAAACAGCAAAAAAAAAAAACAACAACAAAAGCGCCCCGCGATAATTGATTGAAACAAAATGCAGTCGCATTGGTTTACAAATTTCTCCATTTCCCTTATTTTGTTTTGGTTTTTTTTTTTTTTGCATTCGACTTTTCCTTTATTTTTTCTGTGGCGCCCTAAGCCACGCACAAGCTGCAGCCTTTGCTGCATACTTCTGGGCGCTTAATCTGTGCGGCATGCCCAGGCGAAATCTGCTTTGCCTTTCTGCCCGATTGTCTGTCTGTCTGCCTGGCGTAGCGTTAAACTTTAACCACGTAAAATACGAGCCCCCTGGGCGGCAGCCGCAACACAGCCAACCAAAAAGCTAAAAAGAAGTAAAAAATACTGAAAGGAAACGCAGAAAACCCCCCAAAATGAACGAACTGCAATCGCAGAGCAGTCGAAATGCATATAAAAACGGCTGCAATCCAATTGCCCGGCAGTGAGCGTTGCCAGACTGACACGAATTCCAGATGAGCTATGCGAATGAATTTTGGTTGCGGAGTGAAATGTAGATTTTAATGAGTTTAGCAGATATTTGTTTTGGATAGTGCTAAAATTGCGGGAATGCTTAAGTTATTTTTGAAAATTCTTTGAATTTGAAAGGTGGAAAAGCTGCTTCCAAACTAAATGCTAATTTGAATCTTCAAAATGAAGCTTGAATTCATAATCTTAAATGCGATTATCATAAATTCAATTGATAATTAGAAGACTGTTTTTGTACACAAGTATATATATTGCTCCTCTCTTTCTCTCCCTCGCTCTCTCTCTCTCTCTGAGACTTAAAATTCGCATTTCTATGCGATTCTCACGATTTCAGGTAATGTTTAAGAATGCTCTATGTTGCTTGTTGCTCTATTTTGCAAATGCCAGAATAGAAGATTTGTGTAATAAATCTTAAATATGTATTTTCTATATTTTAAAATTATTTAGATATATATTTTTGTTCGATTTCGCAAGAATATATAGATCTCAATTGCATATATTTGTATACTGATTTCTATTCGTGATGCAGCTTGATGTTCCGTGCAGCGCCTGGCGCCACGACTTGTCCCGGCCCCTGTTCCCCGCCGGGTGTCAACCGGAAATGGCAAAGCAAACGCAACAAAAAAGTAACCAAAAAGGCAAAAAAAAAAAGGAAAAGAGAAAATAGTAGGGAAAAGAAAAATGAATGAAAACAGAGCTGAACAGAGCAGAGCTCAGTGTCGGAGCCCTGCAGGCCGGCGCTTCAATTTCATGTCGAGTAAATTTTAATTTACAGCTCTTTTGTGACCGCAGGTTTTGCCAACATGCGAGCCAAAAACTTTTATTTTTTTCGTCGTTGTTGTTGCTGCTGGATACATTTTTTAACTTCGCGTTGCTCGCATTTGTTATATACATGACTTTTGGGCTATTTGGGCAGTTTGGCTTGTTGGTCCAATGATATATCCGTGGGCAGGCCATTTGCTGCAGGGCACACGCCCCAATCCCGTTTGCCATTAGTTTTAATGTCCGCAAGGGGCGGGAGCGATGGCGGGGGCAGTAGCAGCACAAAAGGCGACGGTGGGCTAATTGCCGCTGCCGCCAAACTCCAAACTATGCTTCATTAGCGCCCGCTGAAAACTCTATTAGCCAAATAAGGCGGCGTTAAAAAAAGGGCGGCGAAAAAGTTATTCGGAAAAACGCGTCGGAAAAACGTGCGGCGTCTAAATAATGCACAACAATTTATGGCCGAATACAAAACAAAAATAATTAAAATGCAATAAAAATGCATAATTTGCACAATAAAAGCGTGAGTAGGGGGCGTGGTTGAAAACTTTGCACAGCTGCGCACAATAAAATAAAATATCTATATATTTATTTATTATTTACTCTTGTCAGCTTGCGCAAATTGCAGCACAATTTGAGCTAAAATATATCAATGTCTAACACACATATACATGCTGAAACAAGTAAGATGTTCTAGTCGGGAGCTCCCGACTAGGGGATACCCTGAACCCTCTATTTCCAACATCAAATGCATATATATATTCTAGTTTAGAAGCTATACGTCAAGTTTACTGACTCGAGCTCTTATTATTTACCAAAATTGCCCAAAACACAGGATATCGATATAGATTCTTATCGATTGCTTGGAAACGGAGTAAGCTATCGATTATCGGAAACATATTCGATCTGCGCGGGCACTAGGAGCATATACATCTAAAATTTCAAGTCTCTAGCTCTTATAGGTTCTGAGATCCTTGCGTTCATACATACGGACAGACGGACGGACGGACGAACGGACAGACAGATGGACATGCATTTTATCATCTATTGTCATTTCTCATGTTACTACAACAACAACAAAGGCGAGAAAAAGGGTTAACAATTTTTATGTGTCAACAAGAATAATTTGTGTCACGCAAAACGAAACGAAAAACTTAGCTAAGAGATGACAAAACAAAAAAAGTGGCAAAGTGTCGTAAAGAAAAGCAGGCAGCATATTAATAATGAAAACAGGACAACGACAACGACGACGGCAAGCACATATACACACGCACAGATACACACAACATGAATACAAACCAAACACACACACGTCCAAGACAACAGCAAGGCAACAAAAATGTGTAGAGGAATCAACAAGCAGCTAGAAATTAATACCAGCGCACACACACGCACATACACACTCTCACGTGGAGTCAGCCTTTATAGCATGCCACGCCTCCATAAAAAACGCCCACCAGCTACGTGCAATGCCACCAGATATGCTGTGTGTGTGGGTATGTTTGTGTGTGTGTGCTACGTGCACGTGTCATAATCCTTTTGCCACATGCCACATTTTTCTCTTTTGTGCAACTTTTTTAAACTGAGAATCGCGCTCTAGGCACGAATTTTACAATTTTCACACTTCTCACACAAATGCGAAGTTTTCGTGTATAAATATCTTTGCTGAAAGAATTTTTATTTACTTATAAAGTATTGTTTATTTAT